CTAGCACATCTCATATTCAGGTTCAAGAAGAAGAATCAAGCGAAGAAGATTTATCAGATATTAATTCTGATGATTCAGATTATACACGTAGAAAAAAGAAAGGCAAAGCAGTTGTTGATTCTGTTATAGAAGAAAAAGAATTAGCAGATATTGAACAAGTTAGAATTCAGTCAAATTACGTAGAATTAAACAACAAATCGCAAGATCCAGAAGAATTTTTGTCAGAATCAGAATTATACGAAACGGATATTGAGCTTGATATCTCTGAAGATAAACCAAAAAATACCAAAAAACGCAAGCTAATTAATGATGATGCTTCTAAAGATTTTAAACAAAAAAACAAAGATAATCCAGAATTTAAACGGTTAAAAGGTTTGTTTAAAAAATTATAAATTTATTTTTATTATATAAATATATTATTGTATCAAAATTTTATAAATAAAATATATTTTATCATGTCTTTACCAAATATTAAACAAATTTATAAAGTTTTACTGAAAGAAAAAATTTGTATTGATTACTTATTTTCAAATAATATAATTCATAAACCAACATGCCAATATTGTAATTTTGAGTTAAATCAAATTAAAAAAATACTTAGATGTAAAAATCCAAAATGTCGAAAAGCAGTTTCTATCTATAAAGATTCATTTTTTGCTAAACATCATATTATTAGCTCAGATATTTTGCTGCTAGCGTATTTTTGGTTATCAAAAATTAATTATACATCTATTAGTTTATTAACAAATCATTCACCCAATACAATAGTAAATTATACAAAAATATTTAGAGATCTTGTTATCAACATGTTAGAGAAGGAAGACATGATCATTGATGGAAAGGATATCATTGTGGAGATAGATGAGAGCAAGTTCAAGAGAAATAAGGATTTTTGGGTGGTTGGTGGTGCTTTGTGGTAGCAGAGAATAGAAATCAACAAACCCTGAAAAGAATCATCAAGAAACATGTGAGACCAGGATTGATCATTCACACAGATTCGTAAAAAAGATACTTTCATCTAGAAAAACTGGGCATGACACATAAAAGAATTAACCATTCCCAAACACCACAATACAGAGGAAGTATTCACACCAACCACATCGAAGGAACCTGGGCAGGACTAAAGACAATAATTGCTGAAAGAAATAGAAGTCAAGACAAGATTGAAAAACATTTACTAGAATTCATCTGGCGAAGAAAGCACAGAGAGAATATTTGGGAAGCATTTATCGATATTATAAAGAATTATTAATTATTTTAATGAAAATTTATTAATTTTACTCTAAAATATTCCATATTTTAGTTAAACTTTTGTCTAATAAATTAGTTTTGCCTTTATTCTTTTTCAAATTATATTCTGTAAATTTTATTTTTAATTCTTTGATTTTATTTTTCAATTTGCTAATATCTTTTTTGTATTCTTCTATTTTTTTTGTTAAATGTACAATTTCTTGGTCTTTGTATTTAGGCGAATAGATAACACATTGCAGATTTTTTTCATTACATTTAACACAAACATTTAAATTATTTTTTAATTTTACACATTTTCTTCTATGTTTTTGGCATCTCAGACATGAAGTTTTCAAGGTTTTTGTTTCCTTAGCCATCAGGAAAATTGTTAATTTTTTATAAAATCTTAAACAATATTCAGGAATTTATATATTTTTTTTTAAACTCGGAAATTTTTATTAGTTGAGAAAATTTAGTTTCGCATGTTAAAAAACATACTACTCGTCATGCTCAGCACGAAGAGCTATTTTCTCATGAGCATGTAAAAAAAAAAGAAATCAGCTTCATAATTTTTTCAAGGGAGAGAAAAAGACACTCCAAAGGATGCGTTTGATCCTTCGAATAGGACACCTAAATCACTAGATGTCAGTTCCCCTTTAAGATTCATCGCATGATTTCCCAAGAAAAAAAGAGCCAGCTTAATGAGGCTGACCATCGAAATTGCAAAGAAAATCGCCTCGTTAATATCGTTCTGAGAGACCAGGTTCTCGCAAAACTCAAGCAAATTTCTAGGTAGAGCTTCTGGACCGGTTCTCTGTCTCTCACGCAAAACGTACGAGAAAACATGAACACGCACAGTAGTTACAGAGAAAGTTCACCCGAAACGACCAACTACCAAAGAGATACCAGCAGCTTCGGTCATCGTTTTAGCAAAGAAGCGCACTTTGTTACTTGGTATGTTCTCCCAAGATTTTTGAAGGAATGTAAAAAAGATTTGACCATTTCGCCCGTGTCAACCAGAGAGACGTGAATACGCTTCACCAAAAAAGATGGTTATCTCATGCGTCATTCGCTGCCTCACATCGTGTTCATCTCTCTCGCAAGAGACTACGCTTCTCCCTGTTCGGATATTAAGATGCGGGTATTCTCCACCATCTCTCTGATAAAACCACGAGCGAAAGGGTGAAAAACTATGAAATTGGGCGCAATCACAGGTATTTGTATAGTCGATCATCAATGTGTCACACCCGCTTACGTAATCGCACATGCATCGGAATGCCAAATCCGGATTCATACAATCAGATTACTAATTTTAGATTCATTATAACGTATTCATAGAATGTACCAGAAACTTTATACATAATCACACGTTTATTTACAAAAAATAAATATAAATAAATTATTTACAAAAATTACATTTAAAATACTAAATTATTTTCAGCATATTCTAACAGGTCATCATAACTTAAGAGGTAAATATGAGTAAAATTTTTGTTTAAAACTCCTATCGTGTACTCAAAATCCTCCTCATATTGCTTTCTTCTCTACAGCAATAAATCGAATGAACTCGCTTTGCTGTAGTACCAATATCCATCATGAAACAGGTTGTGGTAACTTCTCACATGCGCATCCAAAAATGAGAAATACATCTTGAATTTTTCATATTTCTCAGGGTCTTCTCTTCTTACATCTTCAATGTATTCTTCGTATCTTGTATAAAACTTCAGATCAATTACAGAGAATTGATTATCAATTTCAACGGTTGGTAAGGAGTTTTCAAAAGAATCTTCTTTATCGTCTGTTGAACTTGACGACCAAGACTCAACCTTTTCACAAACATTATCCCAGCTGTCTTCTTGTTTTTGGTTTTTCTTAAAGCATTTTAAAAGTTTTTTAAAGAATCTCATGTTGTGTATTGCGTTGTATTTATAAAATTCAAGAGTGAATTGGAGGTTGTCTCCGTCAAAATTCTTGCTGTTAAATAAACTTTTCCTTTGCAAATCTTGCAAATTGTATTTGTCATCACGATTACTAATTGGTTCTTCTATGTGTTTAATCTGTTTATTTTTGGCTTCTTTAAAACCGGTTTTATTAATCCCATAATTTATAAATAATAAATATATATTATTAATTATATTTATCTTTATCATATAATATGAATAAATTCTATGTTGTTTATGTTGGAAAAACTCTTGGGATTTTCATGTCTTGGGAAGAATGCAAAGAACAAATCTCTAACAATCCCGTGGCAAGATATAAAAAGTTTACAGATAAAGAAGAAGCACAACTTTTCATGAAAAGTTGCGAGTTAAAAACTATATTCAAGAACAGATTTCTTGCTTGTTCAACCAGAATAATCGTTGAAGTAACAACTATTTCTAACAATTCAAAAGTCGGTATCGGAATCAACTTTGAAAATATTGATGTAGTTGTTTCGGAGAGAGGTTTGCAGGATAAGAAAAGTTCAGAGATTTATGCTGTTATTCGTGTGTTAGAATCATATAAAGATGAATATAGTCCTTTAGAAATTAGAACAGATAGTTATTATTTTATCAATTCTTATGAACTCTATATTCCTAATTGGAAGAAAAATAATTGGAAAAATAATGTACAAAATAAGAATTTGTTTAAAAGAATTGATGAGCTTTTCGAGTTAAGACCTGGTAAGATCATATTAACATATCAAGAAAATTGTAGCAAATTGGTTCGAGATCTGGCATTGGAAGGTGCGGAGAAAGAGTTTGTTGAGCGTATGGAAGTTGATGTTGAAACAAATAGCAGTGTAATTTCATCAGATTATGATTAAATTTTAATAAACATACGGTTAATTTTACAAAAGATTGTTTCAATTGTTAATAACAAGAGCTGGCCTCCAGCTCGCATGACCTTGAGGCGCCCTCGCATCAAGGCTTAGGTTTAACGCGTGGCGAGCCTGGCCTCAAATGGCCAGGATCGATTCGCCAGACGTATCGTCAGATACTATAGATTTGTTAAATATTTATATAACCTGTTTTTTACAGGGCATTTTACATATTTTTATTCAATTGGCAATACGGCGAAGCCGCACCAACCCATTTTTTTTTTAAACGGACGCGACAGCCCGTTGCGGGGTCGAAGAATGACGCGTTCGCTACAACGTAAGAACAAGGAATTTGGCTGCGTCCGTTGATTATTTATTATAAATATATACTAATATTTTATTTTAAAGTAACGGAAAATTTTAATAAAAAAGAAGCAACATGGAACTATCTTGAACAAAACAAATGGCGTTTCCAAAAACATGTTTCAATCAATGATGATTTTTTGCATACAAAATTCACGTATATCTTGATCGAGATACTTCACTTCTGTCGTTTTTACAATTTAAAAGATCTGGTAAAGAAATATGAAAAGATCATGAAGGAGATTGATAATGCTCAAGACAAAGACCAATTTGTGATCGATCTTTCGTTAAAATACAGTCAATATCAGTTTAAACCACATCTTTATGCAGATTATCCTAGGTTGTTGATCAAAATCGCAAAGTTGGAATTCTATTACAAATTGATAGGAGATCAAGCAAAAGAAAGAAAAGTTTTAACACCCGTACGTAACAAACAGACAAAATATCAAGCTAGACGACGATTACCAAGATGGTTAAACAGGGAATTCAAAT